ATTTTGTTACTGTTATATAGAGTTATTGGTGCGCAAAGAATCAGGGTACGGTAACATGACGTGCTCGCTGGTGTAGGTTAGAGAAACCTGTTGAGTTTATCTGCACTTATCTGGGTATCAACAGGCCATCATTACAAGTATCGTACCTTCTAAATGATGTTATTTTGTTAAGGTAATTTCCTGCAGAAGACTTGTGAAAGGAAACCGTCCAAGACAAGAGGAAATAGAAAAATATACGTGAGCTTAAGATAACAGTTGTAAACGCCACCCAATAAAGGAACGCTCTTGAAAACAAAAATCTGCTCCATGATATTAGCAAGGAGCTTTGTAAAACAAAAAACGCAAACTGCACTTCAGCTGCTCATCCTTAATTGCTACTAGTGAGAAGTTAGAAAGGAAGAGACTGCAACTTCTTTGCTTGGGTAGCTAAAGGGAGGCTCCAACTGCCTGACTTGGAGTCTTGAGTATCCCAAAAGATAATTAAAAGAATGGGTAGGAAAAAAACCAAGGAAATGTTCCACTAGCCCAGTACATTCCAACCTTCTTTAGGACGACACTCAATTGTCAAACAGCATTTACCTTGATGTATTTTGGATGGAGCCATATTACCTTAAACAAAGAAGAGAAACGGGAGAGAGAGAAAATAAATGATCTAAGAGTACAACCGCAGAAAATAGCTTATAATTTCTTGCCATATTTTTTGTGATAAAGAAACGCCCGAAGAGTTACATAGTATTATCTTTTTTTGTTTCTCAATGTATTGGCTTCAACTGAACGAGTAGAAACATAATAGTAGGTCCCCAGGAGCCCATGACTGTAACAAAAATTTTGACATTTTTGCCTTTTGTAAAAATTTCTGTTTGACAGATGTTTCTGTTTTTGGCTATAAACAATGCTATTTTCCCACTAAAGAAATCGTGGAATGTTAAGATTGAGTCGTTGCTAGGTTTTTAAGAGCTCAGTCAATGTATTTATTATTTAACCACGATTTTGTTAAAATGATATTAAACGTCAATTGCAGGGACTACAACTTCAGTAGAGACCTTCAGTTAATTAAAATGTACCAATTATAAAATAATATTTTTTGTTAAAAAAACTTGCTAAGCCACCTTAACTATGGTAATAGAATAACCAGCACGCCGATGCTGCAAAAGCATGTGCTTCGCAAAGAATGTGATGAACAACCTCGCGTGTAAATTTTCATTACCCGCATCTGTCCATATTTTTGTGTTCCGAGAGAGATTTAAATCACTTGTCTAGGCTGAAGGTATGGCCAATCAGTCTGAGAAATCATTTCTTACTAACTTAAGAGAGAGAAAAAGGACATGTGATATTTCACAGGCCTTGAAGACTAAGAAAAGTAGGTCCTTTCTGGATCTGGATGACTTGCAGAACACTCAAATTAAATGAGACCTTCCATGGCTTGTTCAAATGAAAGTACCCGACGCATTACGGCCGGGCAAGATCATTCATGGGATACCAACCGGCCTACAAAAGGTAATCAAGAAGTCGCTGCTGTCCTATTATTGTTTTGAATTTAGCAAAATTCAAAGAGATGTTGAAGTAGAATGTTGTGTAAGCCTTCTTCAGTTTGTTACTGAAGGGCATGAAACCTACGACAGGCAGAAAGTGGAGATCCTTGCACCATTCATCGACAATGGCATTAATTGCAATAAGGCACTGGTCCACAAAACCAAGTCTGCACAGTAACTGTTTTCAGGAAATTCTGTTAAATCTGCCATGAAGTTTCGTCATGCAGCGAAGATTGCAAGTAAACGTGTTTGCGAATGCAGAAAAAGGGTAGCAGTATTATCACAAGCAGTGTCTTTATGTTGAGGAAACAGATAATGTACCCCTGGAAAGAAGCCTTTGCCTCCTTCAAATGTCACTGGTCCACAAAACCAAGTCTGCACAGTATTAGTCTTTCCAAGACATTCAGTTCAATTTGCCATGAAGTTCTGTTCATGTGGAAAAGATTACAGGGAAAATATGATTACTCCAAGTTTTGGAATGCAGAAAACAGTTACCAGTATTATCACGAGCAGTGTCTTTATGTTGAGGCAACAGATAATGTATTCCTGGAAAGAGGCTTTTTTGCTTCTTTGCGATTAATAATGCATGGCAGACCGAGTGTTGAGTGACTAACGAGTCACGGTGAAGTGTATGTGTGATGATTTTTTGGGCCCATATACACTATAGACTGAAACTTTTCAAAAGTTTCCTAACCAAAACGTGGGTAACCCTTTAAGGGGTATGGAACAGTACCTCGGACAATGTTTCCTTCATACATTTACAGCAATTTTACCCTTGGTAACTCGAACCTTCCATAACTGGAAGTAAGTTTTGTTTCTCTTCAGGCCATTTCTACATAATTTTACCCTGATAACTCGAAACATGTTTCAAGTAATTGACAAGTCGAAAAAAATAACGGTGTTCTAAGTTCGAAACATTAAATTTAGTTTTAAACAACTGAGTGAGCGTCAAATCTTTGCCTTTAGGTTTGCCACTCCAGTTCAAATTCAGTATCCATCCATGTATATTAATCAACTTTGTTCCTTAAACTTGTTCAAAATATCAATCTGTATCTCTTGAAGAGCTACATTTTACGTCATTAGCGGAAAAAATGCAATAGAATCGGACTTTTTCAGAATATTTCCCTGTAAAAGTCGGGAAAATATGATTCTGACCAATCTTAAGGCTCCAAATTAATTACAAACATTCAACTGACTGCTGACCTACCGAGCACGTTGCTGTGAAATACTATCGTTCCTATGCGGACCATTACTTAAATACAGTTTTCTTGCAGTTGAAAGTGATAAAAAATATTTCATACAAATAAACGCCGACAAGCAGATTTATTAACTTAACTACTGATTGTAATCTGGCGTATGTTCCTGGTGAACAAAGGACTTCATGATTAATTTTTTGCATGAGGCACTTTCGAATCACGTTTAGAGCATTTTAAAGCAATTTTACTGTCACGCCAGTAAAATGTAGTTAATGGAACGTGACGCTAGTTATCAGTAACCCTTTTATGGCGGTTCCTTTTCAATAAAGCAGTTGTGTGGTCAAGTTGCCAAGGTCAGCAAGCTCTAAGATACGTTGTACTCTAGCATAGAACTTTACGGCCTTGTCTTCTTTAGCAGGCTAGTACGATGCACGGGATTGGCCAATTTTTTCAAAGCTCTTTTCATAGCCAAGAGTTTGCATGTACAACACTGACCTGTCTTGTAGTACAGCCGTTTCTACTGGCTATGCCAGCAGACGTTCGTCTGGCTATAAAAGTCTAGAACAACTCTTCAGAGTTCTGTTGTTCAGCAAGGTTAGCACTCAGCATATTATTCATGAAAAATTTTGAAAATGGCTTCCGCCCCCACCGTACTATTTTGCACTCGAACTGTATGCATCCAGCCGAGGCAATCAGAATCTCTCAGGGTTATCCAGCGAAGTGCTCAAACTCAGTCTTCAAGCTCTGAACCTCCCCATTACGGAATCCAAAGGGCAGCTGTTCAATTGTCTGAAGCGGACCCTGCCAGGAAAAGTGGCCAGGTCGACAACAGTGCAACCAAAGTGAGTTTCCAAGGCTAAAGCTCGTAAGGGGTGCCCCGCAACGAGAACAACCACGGTGACCGAGCGCTCGTCGGAAATGTACTCAGGGGTGAGTACACTGACTCTCCATTACTTTTGCCCGACACATTATACCAGTCCCAGACCGCTGAATTTCACCTCCGTTTGGACGACTCGTCCTCAGGCCCCATGGGTTCTCCGGTTACCATGGTCAGAAAGAAAAAACCGGTAATTGATACAATGTTCAAGTGGCTCTACGCTTACATGACCTACATGTTAGTACTTGTGAATGCCTACCCAAGATGGGCACTCGAGCTTACAAAATACTTGCAAATTATTAGCAGAGCAGTCCCTAAATTTAAGGGCTTGGCTTGGCTATTGTATGATCAGCAGTTTTGTTGCCTGGCGGCCTGACTTGTCCCTGAGCTGGGATGAGGTAGACCTTAGCTATGGACAGTGACTTTTGCAGGCCTCACTAAGCCCCACTGCAATGTTTGCTGAGTCCTTATCACACTGAGGATGTCTGTCCTTCTGCTGACCTTAACAGAAAATCTCGCCGCCCCCAGACTGTGTGCTTTGACTTCAACAAGTCCTCTGGCTGCCGGCGCTGAAACTGCAGCTAGAGTCTGTAGCTCCCAGGATGGCAATTGTTCCTGGACGCTTCCTTTAGACACTGATGATGAACTAATTATGAAAACACTACTCACCCTGCTTGCAAGGTCAATTTTTTTTAAGTTTTCTTTATCACCAATAAGGCCAGTGAATCTTTTTTTCAATTGGATCAGCACAAATTCAGGTTCAGGATCTTACAATGACAAAGGCAAGCAAAATGTTTCTTCTATGAGGAATGCATAATTTGAAATTATGTAAAAAGGACAATTATAATTGACCCATTTTGCCAAAATTGGTTGAATTAACTGAGGCTATGTTTGATTTACTAATGTGATAGTTAAAGGTGCGCTATGTTGACAAAATGGTTTATTACATATGCAAACGTTACTGAAAAAAGCCTCCTTTATCTTGTTTCTCAGCCTGGAACCTTCACTGTTCTCGTGGCCTAGGAGTGGGAGGAGCTCGTCTGGTTCATCATGCTCTGGGTCCACATCTACATCATCTACAATGTCAATGCAGATGTTATGCAAAATACAACAGGTTATAAATGGCAGTGATACTTTGTCCACTGATTCGTCAAGTTTGACTAAGAGGCAGTGCCATTAGACTTGCTACAAGTTGACTTCTTGGCGAGCGGAGTGAGCCTTTTTTGGCCGCGAAGCGGCATATTTCACTGTGAAGCGGCCGACCGCAAGCAACGAAGTTGGGAGAGGTTGAATTGTCTCGCTTGCAGGGTTTTCATTTGCATTTCGTGCCAAAAATGGGGAGTGGCGTGACTCGCATTTGGGGTTTCAGGTTTCATTTGCGAGTCCTTGACTTCAATGGCGGAATGTCCTGATTCCACTCCGACCAAATCTATTGAGCGTGTATGTGTATCTCCATCATTGAAGGAGCAAATTTGTTTACTGTGTGCGAAAGTTGTTTCTAACAGTGATTTTAGGCGAAAGTTGACGACCTCAGGCGGCCAGAAAACAACAAAAACTTGTCTCACCCTCGAGTCAACACTGGGAAAGGAGATCTCCAGTGACTGTTTTTTTACTAATATTTTGTGTCGTAACTGTGGTATTTATTTGGTATTTTATTTATTTGCCACACAATTACAATAATTACTTAAAGATGCCAAAGAAAAAAAATGTAGGAAGAGATGGCGAGGAGGCCTAAAAGAAAATATAGAGCTTATGTTAATTAGGCCTCCTCAATCACAATTTTTCGAAGATGGCATAAAAATTATGGCGACGGGTACAATATAATATCAGGTGAAAAATTAAACTAATCAATATTACGGAAGTTTACAAATGTTGAATATTAAAAGGCTTTTTCCCAAGATTTTTGTTGAACTATACTAATAATTATTACAAAAAAATGCCTTAAGTGCTCTTTTAAAGGAGAAAGGTGAGGAAGCGTTGATGATGTTGGTGTTTAAGGTGTTGTAAAATTTAGGTCCTTGATAAAAAACGGAAAATTGCTTGGTTCGAGTACGACAGAAAGGCAGACGAAATTTACACGAGTTTCTCGTATTATACGAATGAATTTGACTTTGTAAGGTAAATTTACAATGAAATTTTAAAGGTAGAGTATGGTTTTGATAGGAGTACATGAATAAGCCTAGTTGTATTAAGTATATATCATGAAATTTTAAGATACCAAGATTTTGAAAGATTGGATCAGTATGTGCATCGAAAGTGGTTTTAGCTATAGTTCTGATCACTCGTTTCTGTAAAATCTCAAGACGAATAAGGTTAGTTCTGTAAGTAGAGGGCCAAACTAAGTTGCAGTAAAAAAGGTATGGATAGACTAGAGAAAAATATAGTGTTCGTAAGGTTTTCGTGGATAAATAGAAACTGGATTTACGAATAATTCCCGTGCATTTAGAAACTTTATTGGCGACATGTGAGATTTCAGATTTCCAATTTAAATTTTCATCCATGATTACTCCCAGGAAAACTGTTTCTTTTACTTGATCAATTTTTTGACTATTAATTAAAAGTTGAATAGTTTGATTTGTACGCTTTTGGGATGGTTTAAATGCAATGAATTTGGTTTTTTTCAAGTTTAATGAAAGCCTGTTAGCTCTAAACGATATTGACAACTTATTTAGTGTGTGGCAAGTGTCGTAGAGTGGTTTTTCCTGAAGCCGAACTGCTGTCAAGAACGAAACCCTTGCTCGGAAGCTTCACGGAGTGAGAGAAAGCCTCGAATCATCGAGGAAGGCCATTACAGAGGAAAAAGGAGGCATAACTTCTGTAAAACGGCAAGCACAAGATTCAGCTCGTGGTACGAGCAAGCAAAAGAGAAACAAAAGAGCTCTGTTTGTAGTTGGTGATGATCCCCCTTCCACCAACAATTTGATCGCGGCGCTGTTATGCAGAGATGCAACGACACAAGTGGGTTTCGAAGATTTCCTTGAGGAAGAGAATATTTTAACCGAGGTAAGTTTGAAAAAAAAAGAGTATTCACGGTTACATGTTCTGTCAAAACTTAGCGTAATTCCCACACTCGATAAATTTATCCTACGGTGTGGCACAAAATTTGTGCGGGTTCAATTTTTTGCGATTTTTCCAGCGATCTGCAAAAATAAGCTGCCACAAATAAAATTCACTGCAAACATTTTTCCCGAAAAATTTACTCCAGAGCAAATATTCTCCAAAGTGAATTCACTACAGAAAAATACAGTAGTATCAGTACAGTAGTACAGTAGTACAGTAGTACAGTAGTAGTAGAGTAGTGTAGTACAGTAGTAGTACAGTAGTGTCTGTTTAACTACAACTTGTTCCCTTCATCCAGAAACAAAATGGGTGCAATGAATTACTGATTTTACATACGTATACCGTAGTATTGTTTGAAAATACATATTTCCATTGCATGTACCTAAAAAAACGAAAATAATGTCAATGTTGGATACCGAGTACTGGATACTTTCTGACAATCGCAAAAATTAATTCCTACCAAGAACAACAATGTCCTAATCGCAAAAATTAGTTCCCGCATGGTATTTTGAAACTTTCCAATTAACTAAAGCCGTAAATTTTAAGAGCCACTCTTTTGCTATTCTTGAAGTAAAATTTCATAAATTTATTGTCATTATTATTATCATCATTTTTCTCGAAATATCATCTAATTTGGTTCTTACTTCCTTTGTTTTGTAGGTGATCATACACTTTCCAAATAGTCCCTCTAGAAGAATAGCCGTCTATGAAGACAAAGCCCGTGTTATACGCCAGCTTTGCCTTGGCTCCATAGAATCGGTTGTAAATACCCTGCTTCAAAACAAGGAATGGCAGAGCATTGTTTATGACAAGGTCTCCAATCTCATAACAATGGAATTGACAGGACTCTGTGTCCTATGAGAGCCATCCCTGTTACGGCAGAAAGCAAAAGATCTTGTCAGTCTGAAATGGAGTGACATCTATGAAGAGCTGTCAAAACGGTGCCCCCTATTCTTGAAGTTCCTTCTGGCATCAGTCAGCAACCCATCTCAGTCTAGAAATGTTCACAAGAAAGGCGAAGCACTACCCCCTCCTATGTTAGATGCTGGCTGCCAGATTATTTCAGTCTTCAATTCAGACCTTGATGCCACCAGACGTGTGAAGTCTATTGTACTAAAGAAGGGGGGCCTGAAGAAAATTGGTTTCAAGAGAGTAGCCTCTCTTAATACTTGTCTAAGTTACAACTCCACTAACACATTAATGGAGAAACTTGGACAAGGGTATGACAGCAAGTTAGTGGATTGGAAAGAAGAAGTTGAACCTGGGGTGAAGAGAGAGGTGGACATTTTGGAATCATTAAAGAAAGCTCAGACTGCTGAGAATGAAAACCAAATCAAGAAAAGAGAGGCACATCTACATACCCACAGGGCCTCCATGCATCAGGGATATTCCTTTACAGGAGATAATGTTGACATGTGTACTCCTCGGCAAATGACACTCAAGAACAGGAACAAAGACCATCACATGTTCCAAATTGTAGCATTCAAGAACCGAGTGTCGTCAAACTACCTTCCCTTAGACAAACCGAAGGGAATGAGATCCCTTTTGCAACCTTCCTACCAAGTTCTCACGAACAGTCCTTATTGCAGAGAAACCTCGTTGTACTTGTGCGACATAAATGGGCCCAGAATATTCCTTCTCTATCTTGGATGAAAGATTATTTACCCTCCTGCATAAGCCAAAACCATATGGTCTCACACGCCAGAAAACAGAAGAGGTATAAATTAGCTCTGTACTAAAATCCCTCGATGGAGTAGGTAAATTAATTTAATGTTGTATTGTATTCTAAGATAGTTCAGTACGTTGATCCAGGACTCAAGTTAACTCATCAGCGGGGAAAGTTATTGATCTATTGCTTCATACTAGCATGCAGCATTCAAATTCATAGATGATTGCTGTTCTTTTCAGTTCTTTTCCTTCCCCTGATCATCCCACTCTAAGTCTGATCAATTTGGAAGTTTAACTAAAATATGTCTTATTGAAGGGTGAAAAACCAATATTTGGTCAACATATCTTTTGTCTTAAAAAGTTATAGCCTGTTATTTATTTTCATAGTGTTTAGTGTGATATTTTGTATGGTTTGAAGAATGAACAGCACAGTGCTGCATTATATCTATGTTTTTTTTTTCAATTTAGTTTCCTCTAAAATGCTTAGATTGAAATCCGTGGCATGAATTTCACATTTTAGTTGAGCTCAAGGAATGAAAAAGTCTTTCATGGGGTGTACTTTCAGTCTGACGTTATAACAAAATATTGAGAATTTAAAATTGCTTTTTTGTTTTTATTGTTTTTTCTTTAAAAAAAGCCGTCAGAAGAAACATTATTTTGCGAAATGAGTAGAAAGAAAGTGATGTTTACCAGTGTAGCTTGGTTTGGAAACATGTGATAATAGTACAAAACAATCCCCCAAGTGATTATCAAAAGGCCGTTTTTGTTTTTATTGTGTTTTCTTTAAAAAAGCCGTCAGAGGAAACATTATTTTGCGAATGTAGATACAATCGATCATACGGTGTGACCATTCATATGAAAACACTACTATTCCGCAGTTATGCTCAGTATCACTTGGCAGAAACTAATTTTCATTATTCTACAGGACATGATGTTATTCTTGTATTTCGCATTTTGGGTAACGTTCATTGTTAGAAGAGGTTAGTTATCTCTAGTGTGATTCCTTTACTAACGTTTTATTTTCAATCCCAGTTTTGGTTCCAAAACCGGCGTAGCAGATGGTGGAAAAACACGCCGACGCCTACCAGTGACACGCCCATGCAGCCGCCAAAACAGCCGCCGAAGGAGTCATTCATACAGCCCACTATGCACCCGCCAGCACCCCAGTTCATCCAGCAACACAATATGGAACGGCTAATACAGCCCACTATGCAGCTAATACAGCCCACTATGCACCCGCCAGCACCCCAGTTCATCCAGCAACACAATATGGAACGGCTAATACAGCCCACTATGAACCCGCCAACGCCCCAGTTCATGCAGCGACACAATATCATGGAAGAGCTAATACAGCCCACTATGCAGCTAATACAGCCCACTATGAACCCGCCAACGCCCCAGTTCATGCAGCAACACAATATCATGGAAAAGCTAATACAGCCCACTATGCAGCTAATACAGCCCACTATGAACCCACCAACGGACGACGACATGCAGCAGCTAATTTCATTGATCGCCCAAATACAATAGCTGAGGCTGAAAGTTTGAAAAGGACTCAATGTTGTATGTTGAAAATCCGTAAATACAGTACAATTATAAGACAATTCCTTTACTCCAACGGCGCTGGAGACAGATCTAGAGACAGAATACTGGCAATTGAAATATGGTCTTGGGTCGTCCTTTAATATCATCATAAGTTAAGAAGACTTGCCAGTAACGGTTTCCGGCATTTTATAGTAAATTTCAGTAATTGTCTACATGTGGAATTCCCAATATTAAATGGCGGAAAAACACGCCGACGCCTACCAGTGACACGCCCATGCAGCCGCCAAAACAGCCGCCGAAGGAGTCATTCATACAGCCCACTATGCACCCGCCAGCGCCCCAGTTCATCCAGCAACAATATGGAACGGCTAATACAGCCCACTATGCAGCTAATACAGCCCACTATGAACCCGCCAACGCCTCAGTTCATGCAGCAACACAATATCATGGAAGAGCTAATACAGCCCACTATGCAGCTAATACAGCCCACTATGAACCCGCCAACGCCCCAGTTCATGCAGCAACACAATATCATGGAAGAGCTAATACAGCCCATTATGCAGCTAATACAGCCCACTATGAACCCGCCAACGCCCCAGTTCATGCAGCAACACAATATTATGGAAGAGCTAATACAGCCCACTATGAACCCGCCAACGCCCCAGTTCATGCAGCAACACAATATCATGGAAGAGCTAATACAGCCCACTATGCAGCTAATACAGCCCACTATGAACCCGCCAACGCCCCAGTTCATGCAGCAACACAATATTATGGAAGAGCTAATACAGCCCACTATGCAGATAATACAGCCCACTATGAACCCGCCAACGCCCCAGTTCATGCAGCAACACAATATCATGGAAGAGCTAATACAGCCCACTATGCAGCTAATACAGCCCACTATGAACCCGCCAACGCCCCAGTTCATGCAGCAACACAATATCATGGAAGAGCTAATACAGCCCACTATGCAGCTAATACAGCCCACTATGAACCCGCCAACGGACGACGACATGCAGCAGCTAATTTCATTGATCGCCCAAATACAATAGCTGAGGCTGAAAGTTTGAAAAGGACTCAATGTTGTATGTTGAAAATCCGTAAATACAGTACAATTATAAGACAATTCCTTTACTCCAACGGCGCTGGAGACAGATCTAGAGACAGAATACTGGCAATTGAAATATGGTCTTGGGTCGTTCTTTAATATCATCATAAGTTAAGAAGACTTGCCAGTAACGGTTTCCGGCATTTTATAGTAAATTTCAGTAATTGTCTACATGTGGAATTCCCAATATTAAATGGCGGAAAAACACGCCGACGCCTACCAGTGACACGCCCATGCAGCCGCCAAAACAGCCGCCGAAGGAGTCATTCATACAGCCCACTATGCACCCGCCAGCGCCCCAGTTCATCCAGCAACACAATATGGAACGGCTAATACAGCCCACTATGAACCCGCCAACGCCCCAGTTCATGCAGCAACACAATATCATGGAAGAGCTAATACAGCCCACTATGCAGCTAATACAGCCCACTATGAACCCGTTCATGCAGCAACACAATATCATGGAAGAGTTAATACAGCCCATTATGCAGATAATACAGCCCACTATGAACCCGCCAACGCCCCAGTTCATGCAGCAACACAATATCATGGAAGAGCTAATACAGCCCACTATGCAGCTAATACAGCCCACTATGAACCCGCCAACGCCCCAGTTCATGCAGCAACACAATATCATGGAACAGCTAATACAGCCCACTATGAACCCGCCAACGGACAACGACATGCAGCAGCTAATTTCATTGATTGCCCAAATACAATAGCTGAGGCTGAAAGTTTGAAAAGGACTCAATGTTGTATGTTGAAAATCCGTAAATACAGTACAATTATAAGAGAATTCCTTTACTCCAACGGCGCTGGAGACAGATCTAGAGACAGAATACTGGCAATTGAAATATGGTCTTGGGTCGTTCTTTAATATCGTCATAAGTTAAGAAGACTTGCCAGTAACGGTTTCCGGCATTTTATAGTAAATTTCAGTAATTGTCTACATGTGGAATTCCCAATATTAAATAAAATTAATGATTACATCTACAGGTAAAACTTTGTCAACTGTTTGCTTTTTAACAGTACCTGGGCCGGGTTGTTCAAAGCTAGGTTAAGATAACCCAGGCGAGGAGGGTTAGTGCGAAAATTGAACTCAGATGTGAAAGCTTCATTTTGCCCACAATTTGATGATTGGACGTTCTTGATAACTGAGAAAATTATACAAAGAAATGTTTCTTAACAAAAGAAAAAGAAACCTGAGTTAAGCGCTGATCGGCCCTCGAACAACTGCGCCCTGTAGAACATCTATTGCGCCAGTAAAACAAAAAGTTCTTTTTACACGCCCGAAGCACTTTGGCCAGTGTCTCCTCAAATAACAACCATATGATATCACGCTGATCACTAGCCTTCAAAACCTTTTCATTATCATACACAGTTTAAATCGATGTCTCGCTGTACGCAACCCTTACGTTCGAAACATGCCATAATCATAGTTATCTATCGCAAGAACCATCCACCCTTTCCCCTCAACTGCTACCTGTACGCCTAGCAAACATATTGAACGCACTCTTCTAAGCTCCGATTACTCCTA